CAGCAATCATCACCCAGATAAGCAGAGATTAACACCAAGATTATCACCAGACATACAATCATCAATAAACAATACCCCAATCAAGGAAGTACAAGAGGGAAAAAATAAAACAAAACAAAACCCCAGCCCAACCAACACTGGCAGGGCATGTCACAGTATATAAACAGAGAGCAAACTCCATCCCATTCTAGCACTGAAAATGTTACCTAGCTGGGTAATGAAACATTTCCAAGAAAAGAACCAAGCTCAAAGAACCCCAAGGACCCCACAGTTCAACCCTGAGCTACACATATTCTCTTCTATTAATAATAAACCAACAGAGTGACCTGGGTAATTTTCCTGTATTGGATTTACAAAGGCTTGTTAAAGCTTTGAAGAATTTTGTGAGAAGGGCCAAAGAAAAAAATGAAAAGAAATCAAGTTCTAGGACATTATTTGATGGGACTAAAGATCAAGATTGTTAGAAGTAAAAGGAAGGAATATAACATGGGTTTATTTGATCAAGGTTAAATTAGATATGTTGTTATCTCTGGTAACCCTTAATAGACTTTTGCTGACATCAGAACTAAAATGACAAGGGTTTATGGATTTGTTCATAGATAAGAGTGTTAGGATATTCTCATGGGAAAAAGAGGAAATTGCTTATCTTCAAACACATTGTTATGGCCATAGAAGTCACGCCACTTGTATTGGCCTTCTGGTTTGCACGTGTACTGCCACCTACTGGCGCCTTCATGCTAGTTACCTAAGGGGAGGTGCATAGTTCCAATAAATTGTGGGTGATTGTATGCCTCACTGCCAGTAGGGATTTAGTCATCATGTAATCAGTTTTATAGGTTATGTAGTTGTAACTAATAACTAAGTAGTGTACCTCTTCTCTGAGAATGTTTGGCTAGAGACTTTGAGTTAAACTTGTGTATTGGATAAGTCTTGGATGCCACATAAATGAGAAGAAGTGTTTTTTTTCTATGTTTTGCATGAAACTTGTATTTTATGTAGTTTTATTTTTCTCAATAAACAACGAGATATGTTTTATAGCTTCTGGCTGGATTTATTTGGAGAACAAGATAAGGACATTGCATTCTTTAAATCTCTCTAAGGCTGGTGTGTATTTTTGGTGTAGAATGTGGTCATACCACTACTCTGCCTAACAAGGAGATGGGATATGGGAAGAAGAGATCATTAGTTGTATTTTAAGAGAAGGTGATAAGGTACTAAAAATTTTTATACTTGTTATGAAGGGGGAAGTCATTTCTTTATATATTTGTTTTCTTTTTCTTTACTATATTCATATTTTTTTCTCTATTTTTCTTTCTATTCTTTAATTTTCTTAATTTTCTATTTTTTCTTTTTCTTTTTTCTTTTTAGTATATATTGGTTCGTATCTTTTAACTGTAATGTTTAATAAAACTATTATTAAAAAACAGAACAGAGAATGAGAGTGAATAAATCATCATCATACGGGAAGAAAGGGTGAATTCTCAACAGAAACTTGCCCGAATTGTTTGCAGAATTGGCAGATGTATCCTTACAACTCCTCAAGCAAGAACACGTGGCAGAAATGAGCACAGGCACAGCCTGTTACTGAAACGAAACCAGAACCCTCCAGAGCAGCTCCCATCAGAGCAGGTGATGCTGCTCTAGAGCTGAGTCCGCTCTGCTCTGCTCTGCTCTGGACCAGGTCAAATCCCAGCTTGGTGCCAGAGGCTGCCTGGGGAGCCTGGGGGCCGGGCACCTGCTTTCAGGCTTCCAAACCAGCCAGCTGAGAACTATGGGAATGCTGTGGATGTGGCGCATGTTTCCTTTCCGCTCCAGAGAGGAGATACAAGAGGCTTTACATGGTCAAAGGGTTGTGGCTAATCTCCAGGAGGACCCTGAACCCACATATGGCCCTTTCTTGGTCAGGAAAGTAGATGGCAGGCAATGCAGTTCCTTGGGGAGGCTGGAGAAATCTCAAGTGCCGGTCAGCAAAAGTGCCAGCCTCCCATCACTTAATGCCAGAGGGAGCTCCTCCTGGCGGGATTGTGGAGTGCGATGGGCAGACTCCGCAGGGAGATGGGGCCGCCCCACTAACCAACGTAGGGCGAAGCTCCTCTCATTCCCTGGCTTGCGCAGGCAGCAGGGACCTCAAACACTGCAGGCTGCAGAAAGCATCCCCCCCCATGGTGTTTCAGGTTAAACTAAGCCTCCCCATGGAGATCCCCCCACTTCAGGACCCTCACTGGATGCTGACTTTGGCACTCCTGAGGACCCCCCTTTGGTTAAGCGCCACAGTCTCCCTCTCCCCTTTGCGTGGGGAGGGTGGGAAAGATGGACCCCTTCTCTCCCTCACCTGGCTCCGGGGGGTTCGGCGGAAAGAGGAATCTGTCTGGGGTTTCCAGGCGTCTCAGGATGCGGTTGATGGAAGAGATCTAGAGGGGCAGGAGGCAGAGAGTTGGGAAGGAGTCCAGATTCTGTTCACGCACGTGCTGCTGGGCCCGGCGGAGCTCACCTCTGAGCGGATGGTCCCTCAAGGGGCAGAGGAAGTGGCGCTTTAACAGGAACAGTGGCCGGAGCTCAACTCTGACCGAGAGGAACACCTCTGAAGCCAGAGAGGCGACCCGGGCTCCGTCCTAAGGAGCAGCCTGGCCGCAGACCCCGAGGGGCAGAAAAGAAAGACCCCATGGGGAGAAAAGAAGGCCCTCTCAGGCGTTTCCCTTCGTCCCAGGCTCAGCCTCCTCTGTTGGCTTTGCCGGGGTGTGTGTGTGGGGGGGCAGTTGGAAGGAGGGGCCTCTGGGGAAATGCTGGGTCTGGGGGCTAGAGTTTTGCGTTGGAGCATTCTTCTCCCCCAGCCTAATGTCCTAAGCTATCATTTGTCCTGTCAAAAGAGTCCGGTCTCTTTTGGGGAATGAAAAGATTTTAGCCTGCCAGAAAAGATGGAGGCTCCGCGTGTGTCTGAGTGTGTCTGAGTGTCTGTGCCCCAGTAAATTCGTGGATTTTAAAGGCAATGAATGGCTGACGATGGATGGAGACTGTGTGAGGGGGGGGGGGGAATGGCC